GAGTGACTCGACGACACTCTCGACGCCTTCGGAACCGGTTGCTTCGCGGGTGACCGCCGTTCGTTCTGAGGCATATGCCTAAGTCGATAGTCCTCCTCTTCTATATTCTTATGCGGACTATGATGTCCGGCTCGTTCCTACGCTGGGTACTCATGCTCAAGGACAAGACGTGTGTGCGGCAACCTCTCCGTCCGGCAACTTATCGTCTTCAAGTCGTTCTTCACGGGATTCGGCGCGCGAGTTCAACATAGAGGTATTGGACCCGCTCACGTCTGAGGATTTCGCATGGCTTCCTCTCCTGACCATGGGCCGCTTGCCGGGACCGCAATGCGCAACATTATGCGCTCATCTTCACACTTACTTATCCTTCTATGCACCACCAACTTCGCCGACGGATGACGAAGCTGCGGTGGGGGACATCCTTGCGTATGTTACCAAGGTGGCCCGCGTGTTTCGCAAGCAGCAGTACGACGACAACAACGCACTGCTCCTCTATATCCACATCCAAGTTGGGCAAGCGTCCTGCAGCGCTTTGCTGGATAGCGGCGCGTCTCGCAATTTCATGAGCCAAGCCTTTATGCAAAGGGCTGGCCTTGGCACACAAGTTCGAAGGAAGGCAAACTTGACGGCGATCAAGTTGGAGGACGGAAGGACGCAACAACTTATCGACCGCTACATCGAGGCCATACCAGTGTATTTCGCACCTGATGCATGCAAACCGGTGACGTTCGACATTTTGGACACGGACTTCGACGTTATTTTGGGAATGCCTTGGCTTGCAAGTGCGGATACACAGTCAACTTCCACCGACGGACTCTTACCGTTCGGGACGCTTTCGGCGCTGAAGTGTCGTGTACTATTCCTCTTCCGCACCCTTCGATCCCATGCCAAGTGGTGACGGCCAAGTCGTTCAGGGCTACTTGCGCTTACGAGCAGCCCGACGAAATAGGCCTATGCTTCTCTTCACCCATGGACTTGTCTTCGGACCCCCGTGTGGCACGGTTGCTTGACGAGTTCACCGACATCTTCGAGTCACCTACCGGTGTGGTGCAGGATCGGCCAATCTCTCACGAGATCATTCTTGAGGCCAGTGCCGTGCCGCCAAAAGGTTGCATTTATCGCATGAGCGAGGAGGAGCTTACGGTCCTCCGCGCGCAACTTGACGACTTGTTGGACAAGGGCTGGATCCTCCCTAGTAGCTCCCCATATGGAGCACCAGTTCTCTTTGTACGGAAGAAGAACAAGGATCTATGATTGTGCATTGACTACCGCAAGCTCAACGCGCAAACCGTCAAGAATGTGGAGCCTCTTCCTCGGATTGACAATCCCCATGAGCATTGGGTGGCGCAAAATACTTTTCTAAGTTGGATCTGAAATCAGGATACCATCATCCGGCTGAACGATCACTATAAATCCGGGTTCAAGATGCGGTAGGGGCATTTTGAGTGGGTGGTCATGCCTTTTGGCCTCACCAACGCCGCGACGACCTTTCAAGCAGCAATGACCAATGAGTTCCGTGCGATGTTGGACCGGTTCGTGCTAGTCTACTTAGACGACATTCTCGTCTATAGTCGGACATTGGAGGATCATCTTGAGCACCTTCGACGAGTGTTGGAGACGCTCCGCCGTGCCAAGTACAAAGCCAACCGCGACAAGTGCGAATTTGTCCGGCAAGAGCTGGAATACTTGGGCCATTTTGTCACATTGAAGGACCTTCCTTCATCATTCAGGTGCCCGCCCACTTGCCCGTCTACCCGGTTTTTCATTGCTCCAAGTTGGCTCTTTACATGCCAGCGGAACATGACGATATTCCCGGCCGACGATCGCAAGACCCACCCTCTATGGACAGTTTTCAAGAGGTCGGTGACATCATCTCCCAGCGACGCTATGGCAACAGACCGACCGAATACTTAGTACACTTTGCGTACTGCACCCACAAAGCTGACCGTTGGTTGACCCGTGCGGAACTCCAAGCAACAGCTCCAGATGTTCTCGCACGCTACGAACGCAAGATGCAACGCAAGCCGGTATCTTCGGCCCCTCGCCCCACCCGCGTCCAGGTTCCACCTTCAGATCGTTAGCTTCGCCCTCAACCCGGATTGACTTCATAAGGAGGGGGGGGTGTTACATGCTGCGCCTGCAACAGGCTGCATGGGCCATTTTCAGGCTCGTGTCGTTTTCAGCCCGAAAGCCTGAAAACAAGGGCCTACATGCCCTGTGTCGTTTCAGCCTGAAAGCCTGAAAACAAGGGCCTACAGTCCCTGTGTCGTTTAAGCCTAAAACAGGGCCTTTTCGGGCCTGAGTCTTTTCAGCCTGAAACAGAGGGCCATTTTTAGGCCCTCATGAGTTTGACCTGCCCTGAAACTCAGGCACCTTTTAGCACAGGCCATTTTGGGACTGTTTTCAAGACAACCCTTGGTTGAGCTTCAACGCCAGGGTCTGGCACGTTTCGGCATTGGCAGCAGCCTCCTGGATGAGCCAGCACTATATAGGACTGGCCCGCCCTGCAGGCTGCAGGTAGTTCCTAGGTACTTCCCAGGCACTTCACGTGCAGTTCAGGAGGCAGGAGGTGGTCTTCAGGATTCGGCAGCAGCACTCTGGAGGAGCGCTGCAGGAGTAGTAGTAG